GAGAGAGAGAGAGAGAGAGAGAGAGAGAGAGAGAGAGAGAGAGAGAGAGAGAGAGAGAGAGAAAGAGAGAGAGAGAGAGAGAGAGAGGGGGGGGGAGACTGCAAGCAGTGATGAGTGAATAAGTATAATAATACCTAGGTATTATTAGCTCTTGGTATAATGTAGGTAGGTTTATTACCTCCGCCAAAGGGTTGGCAGGAGGTTATGTTTTCACCGGCGTGTGTTTGTTCGGCGTGTGTTTGTTGGTTTGTGGGTTTGTTTGTGTACAGCCTAACTGAAAAAGTTATGGACGGATTGTCATAAAATTTTCAGAATAGGTCAGAAATGCGCTAACTTAGAATTGATGAGAATTTGGTGGTGATCCGGATCCAATTAATTAATTAATTAATTAATAAAATTTTCAGGATAGGTCAGAAATGAGGTAACTTCGAATTCATTACATTTTGGTGGTGATCCGGATCCAATTAATTATTTAATTAATTAATTAATTAATTTTGTTAAAGTGAGAGAATTGAGCTGCCTTGGCGGAGATCTGCGTTCTCCGAGTGCTCTAGTTGTGTATGTGTTTGTTGCGACATACACAAACGCAACCCGCAGAGTCTACCAAGACAAGACTGTCCGACGACCACGAAAATCAGAAACAGAACTCTCCCGATCTCTTCCGCCACCTCCCTTGTATGGAAGTCCTATTTCTCTCTCTGACCCATACATGGGCTCCCCTTTGCTCTCGCCAATTCGGGGGCGCTCTACCCCAATTAACCACCTAATGGTGCCACCCCCTGGTCCGCGTCCTTGCTGGTTACCCGCTTTTATGGTTTGTTACTTTTTCGTGAATGCTAATGACTATTTACGGCTGTCGCCTCCACTAGGAATCGCAAACAGGATAACTACGTCATGCAGAACGCCGTGCAGATACGTCGTGTGGGACTCAAGGCGGTTCCCACTCGCGTGATCTTTCTTTATTATTTTATTTTTTCATGTATTTTCCCTCACAATCTACGTCTCTATGTCGCAATATGGAACTATGGTTCCGCAACACTACATTTGTGTCTCTTGGTGGTGCCAGCATCATCTCGCGTAAGACTAATTAATTAGATAACACGTGCTACATCACGACCCACACGCAGTGAATCGTGCACAAGGCTAAATGATCCGTATATTATTATAATATAAGAGCCAGAGCAAACAGAGACGACGAGTAAACACCATTGCGAGTTGTCTATCGCAGACGCAATTTCATAACTCCTACCACACTGAAAAACGACAGTTTTATGAATAACATTGGGCACAAACTGGGTCCACGCGCGGCATATATAGGTCAAACATATATAGGCGGCTTGAATATGTATATATAGCCAACAGTTCTTGTGACAGACAATGCGGCCGTTATAAAGATACGTACGGTAGTCGTGACATCCTCAAAATTGTCCTGCACTTACTATACTATACAAAAACTAGGCATCGTAACCATAGCTGCCTAATCAGAATTGTGCCGATTATACCGCAATTCTCATCGGGTCACCAGCTACGAGATGCGATATATATCAGGTCGATCTAACATGGGGTAGTATCAGTTGTCAGCGGCAGCAAGCGTCGGCGGAGGCAGTAACGAACTACTTATTTGTGTTGATTTCGAACTTCGTGCGGCTATCGGCACCAGCACGTACGCTACCAGTCCGAGAGGTCTGGTCAGGTGAGATCAGGAGCTTATAAATGTAATTATAGCTTATAAATGGCTTATTCCATTTATAAGCTCCTGGTGAGATGACAGTAGGGTCCCTATATACAGGGGTTTGTCTATATTCAGGCCGGTACAGGAGATAATTTGCATATATACAGACGACAATGGCGCCCCGCAGCGGACGCGCTAACTTTGTGCGATTCTGAACTCGTAAATTCCCGTTAATTTTTAACATGGAAAGCATACCATGTAACTAAATTTCATAACTAGAGGGCCCGTTGTCAGA